ATGCAAAGCCTTTTCCTTTGACAAACAACAACGGGAAGACTAGTCTCATTAGACTTAGGATTTGAATTGTGCTAAGGTTCAGGACTATAAAAATCAGAACTCGAAGATGAAGTAGACCTAACGCAGGGTAAATGATCAGTGAGGACATTTGTTTTGAGTTCCTTACTACCGCGAGTAGATAATATTAAATGGTACTATTGTGGTAGTTCTTTGTTGTTTCTTCTTTGTTATGAACATCATAAGATGATATTGTAGGAAGACTTGAATAACAGGGTAAATGATCAGTGAGGACATTACTTGGAAGGTTTGCAGATTCTGGGCATTACAGAGGTTTCATGGGCCATTTCTTTTGAGTTCCTTCACTACCGCGAGTAGATAATATCAAATGGTACTATTGTGGTAGTTCTTTGTTGTTTCTTCTTTGTTATGAACATCATAAGATGATATTGTAGGAAGACTTGAATACTTTTCATTATCTAAAAGACTCGATATACTTTCTCTTAATATAATATCTCTTGAGTTTTTAGGTTGAACAATGAAGATTGGGAAGTTACTATTTTGTGAGTCTTAAGTTTGAAGAAGATCCTGAAACTTAGTGGTCGAATCTTCGTTTTGCTCCCCACTTCAAGATAAGATTAAAAAAAAAAAATTAAAAAAGAAACCATATGTAATTTTAACCATTTTATTGCCTTCACATGATCTATAGGAGAAAATAATTTAAAACAACCACTTATATGATTAATTTCATTAGAATCAACTATCCAAGTATAAGAAAAATTAGGAAAAACACCCAACAAAGCCGTGGTTAAAGAGTTACCTTGCTGTACTAAAGAGCAACATGGAGTTTGGGACAATTTTGGATATTGAAATAATTTGTGTAAGTGCTCTAATTGTTCTTTTTGTGAAATGGACGATATTCGAGTTAGTAGGAGGCTCCTGAGTTTCTTCAATAGTGGTTTGATAAGCTTAACGTTCACTCTTGGATTTTGATTTTCAATTTGCAGGTTTACCATGAAGCTTTTAACATCTTTATTTCGCGTGCCATGATTTTTTTGCAATGCTCACACTTTGGTGTTACATAACATGATTTTTTACGCTCTTTTTTGTTAGTATAAACCTTTTTTGACATAACAACTGAGTTCTCTTCAATCCTACAAGAAGATTTGGTGCTTCATAACATAATTTTTCTTCTTGACTCTTTGTGTCTAACTCCAGAAAAAAAACTTCTTGAATATATTGTAGAGGTTTCCTACAGAGTATGCAACCACAAACTTCTTCTAAACTTTAATTGAGACCGGCTAATAACATATAGACCTGCTCTTTTTTCTCCCTTTTTTGTGAACATAATCACTAAAAATTCTCCCTAATGTCATCATAACATTGATCAAGCTTCTGCCATAATGTTACGGATTCGTTGTAATATGTGGTAACGTCGCGATTAATTTTAGAATTTCAAAGTTGAGTTTTCAACTAAAAAAATTGTGAAGAATTCTCCAGTTCTAAATAGAGATTTCGAACAACCTCTCAGTTATCTCGAACAGTGGGAATGAATCGATGTGGCTTTTTTATGTTAGATTTCATTAAGTTGATGAGCCGAGCCATAACCAGAGAATTTTTAGACTGTCATTGTTTTATATTCGTACCGTCAATAGTAGGTTTTGAATTTTGCCTAGTTAAATATCCAATTTTGCCTCTCTCATCGATCGCCAATTTTATGGATTGAGCCTGCTCAAGGTAGTTGTGTCCATTAACTTTTTAAACTATGAGTTAAGGTGGTGAATTTTGAGGAAAATACTCAACAAATATAGCTACGAGAGGAGTTGCATGGTGAGGTGGTTTCAAAATTATTGGAACCGATCGATGCAGTAGAATTTCTTTAAACTTTTGTCATTATTGCTTATTTATACGACATCTTTAGAATCTGAGAATAGCATCACACATGTAGTGACTACCTCAAGGGAAGTATGTAACATGCTTTTGCTTTGATATGGGCTTGACTTGCCTACTCGACTCTGTTATCGACGCTAGAGGAAGGACAAAGAACATTCATCTGATCGGAACCTCGAATTAGATGAATTTGGGTCTTTGAACATTGTGATCCAATCGTTGCCTTCCCAATTAGCTCTAAGGGCGAGGGTCGGTCACAAAGATGATATTGAGCGAACTCGGGAGTGGTAGGAGCTAAGTGAAGGCGTTTCTTGCAAGGGCTCACAGATGACTGATTCACCATCAGATTTCTCTAGAGGGAGGACACAAAGCAACTTTTAAGGCTCTCGCGAGATCATAAACTACGGACAACCAGGTTGCAGGATTCGATTGCAATTTCAACGACGATACTGGCTCTAATATCATTTAGGTTTTGGGAGGGGAAACATAATTACTCCTCGATTTCATATGAAACGATTAAAAGATAAATAGAAAAATAATTATTGTGAAAACATTATTTCGAGAATTTTCTCAGTGGTTGCTGTTGCCAGGTCTTGTGGACTGTCACGACTCGACCTGGGCTTGGAATTAACCAAGACGGGTACAGAAGGTAAGACGGTGTGGGTAAAAAGAAAAATTATTTTATTCATTTTATATAACTTGCTATTAATAGATGAAAGAGCTGCCAATCAATTTAATTAAAACATTAAACTAAAGTTTTTCTCGTTGAGATATACCCATGTCTTTTATAAATATTTTATCGTCTATCGCTCATCTATTAATAATTTAATTAAACCAGAAATTCAGTTAAAACAATAGTAAACTAAACGAAGCTAGTGAATACTCATAATTTTATACTACAGAAATATAAATAAAAATTACAATATGCATGCCAATTAACTTATTTTTAAATCGATATAAACATTTAACATGTTATTCTAATGTGTTTATATCAAAATCTTATTAATATTTTTTCATATCTATACAACTGTCACATGAGACACTGTCTAATAATTGTACAACTTAAAGTACTTCAATATCAATATTATTTTCAATTTACATGCATGGATATAATAATGTTTCCCTACTAATGCCATTAAGGAGTACTCCATCGTAGCCAAACTTGCACATGCAAGCATATTATAAATCATTTAGTTTCCATTCTCAATATCATCCAATATCTTTCTTTTATAACATGCATATATATAAATAAACATAACTATGCAAATCATTCACATTTATTTCTAGATGATCAAATTGAATAACAAGGCGGAATAATCTTATTTTAGTTGCAGTGACACGATATCTTGACTAGTGATATTCTAATGCGAGTGATTATAAGAAATGTAACATTATTGTCATAATTTAGAAGTAAAAATACTCACCTCGATGACATTTAATTTGATATGATTTAGCTTTGACGTCGACGCTTCTAAAGTTAAAAACCTAGCATAAACATGGTTTAAAAATTTAATTAATTTATTATTTTAGGTAAACTATTAACTTTTCATTACTAATTAATTATTAAATTTTCATTATTTTATTATGTTTATTTTGTTATTCAATAAATATATTTTTATTTATAAATATATTATTATTATTAGTATTATTATTATTATTATCACTTAAATAAAAACTATCCTTACCTCTTCCAAAACCTCAACCCAACTCGACCCGCCAGCTCCGCCCCTTTCTTTTCTTCTTCTTCAGCTCGATTAAACAGGATCGAATCACTGTGTGTGATGAATAATCTTCCGCACACTACACTTCTTCTTTGATGCTCAGCTAGAGCACGATATAGGCTCTTCCTTCGTCTTCCTCTTCGACTCGGCTCGACTCATGACTAGACTCGTGACTACAGTTAAGATCTCCTACCTCTCCTCTGCCCAACATCACTTCCCTCGATTCTACATATGAGTAAAATACCTTGGACGCTTTGTTTTATGGGCAAACTTGTATTTTTAGCTTTTGATCCCTTCGCTTCCACTCCTTCAGCTGTTTGTGTCCTCTCCCATCCACGATTCATCGTTTCCTCTTACATATCTATTTGTTTTTTCTTCTCTGTTTCTTCATTTTTTCTGTTTCTTCTCCCCTCGTACAGAATTGTTGCATGGACCCCTTTTTAAGATTATCTTTTAATTAGTATTAGGGTTAATTTGTGTGGAGACTATATATATTTGTTTTGTTTTGGACTGGTTGAACAGTTTTTTCTTTGGTTCATAATATTTGGAGAACATTGTTCCCTTTGTTCTTCTATTTGGTGAGCTGGAGCCTATCTTTTTTAAAAGCGGTGAATCTGTTTCTTGAGGAGAACAGTTGATGGATCCTGCCTATCATTTGTACACTGTTTCACATTTCGGCTCGCTGTTTTCGAGCCGGATAGCTGCCAAACTTGTGTTACAGCATGAATTTTTCCTTTAAAGGGCAGGTTTTCGCCGTTCCTCTACCACCATCGCCAGTTTCACTTTGATTCCTTATCCCTACATCCCTCCTAACCCATTTCCTAACTTTCCCACACCGTCTTGGAATACTAAATCGGGGTCAGGAAGGTTTGCAAGACATTTTGGCTTCTGTTTCTCATCATTTTGCCTGTACATTTTGTCTGGGCAAGTCTAACCTGCATTGCCTCTTCTTTATTTGGCTTAGGTGCAACATATGTAGATGATGCATAGGAGTTGTGTCGGTGTTTTGGCAAGCTGTTTTTTGCACCTTTTTTTTGTATTAGCTTCTATTATGTCTTGTATTCAGTTGTTCAGAGATTACTTGCCTGATTTTGTAAGTAACACCATATGCAAACCTTAAATATTTGCATTTAAGAAAGGCTTGCCGGTTATTGCTGTTTTTATCTCGCATCCTTTTGCCTGTACATGCTCTCTGTGAATGGTGTGTATTTTGCATTAATAAAGTAAAAAGTTACAAAACGGACAAAAGGCTGTTAAGTAGCACATTCAAAAAAACTCATTCCCTTTCCACAAAAGAAAATAAGGGATGACTATCATGTAAACTCGTACATGCTCTCTGGGCAAGCCTCACTTACATTGGCTCTTTTTTCATTTTGCTTATATACTGCACAGGAACTCGGCACTGATATGAACCTGTATGCATTGGTGTTTGGAGAATCTGTTCTAAATGATGCAGTATGTTTGAAATCCCAGTATACACAAATTAGTCACTTTTTTCTTGCTTTTCCATTTTATCTTCTGATTTTCTTCCATTTTTTGGCTTTTCTTTTCAAAATCTTGGCAAATTGCAAGATGGCAATTTCCTTATACAGGTGAGCCTCAATTTTTAACTTTAGTCTTTCATGTAACACTTGGATATTGGTTTTGTTTTGATTTTCACTATTATTATAGGACAATGTCATCGGTAAGAAGCCATGCTTCATCTGGACAAAACTTCTTTATGCTTATTGTCAGATTTCTGGAGACATTTATTGGTTCAATGTCTTCAGGTTTGTATAAGCTCATATGACTGCTATTTTTATTGCTCTTTTTATTATTTGAGGATTGTTGCAAAGATTTACATATGTATAACGTACAAACTTGTTATTTTGTCTTCTTTCTATAAGAAAAAATTCTATAATTTTTTTTTAAATTTCATTGCAGCAGATTTGTACGTCTAGTCTTTTGTTTTCAAAACATAACTTGTAAAGCGTATTGAATTGCTTGAGACAACACTTTTAGTAGCTTGTTTCTGGCCCTCAATGAATGTTGAAAACTGTGGAATCAAGTTTCAATTGTCATAACTCGGCCTGATAACTTAGAATTAACCAATTCATGAACTGCGGTCGAATAATATTAGCATTTTACAAACTATCCACAGATTTAGAAACCTCGAATATATAAAAGAGCCACTAACAATCCACAAAATATAATACACAGAAAAATCAAAACATCCAGAAATAATAATATTGTCTGTAAACGACTTCTTAGATCAACGCATAACTGTAAATCACTACTCTGAAGAAAAAAATGCAAAAAGAAACTATGATCACATTATAACATGATATTTATTAGCTGCAATCCTCTTGTAAACCGTGTCTTTCTTGCTAGACAAATCAATCTACAAGTTTTCTTTCTCCAAAAAAAAAATAAATTCAACAGTTAGTTCACAATTTAGTAATAATCATAATATGCATTAAATTGTTATGCTAATACTTTGCTTGAATGATCAAAACAAATGTAGTTCATTACCTTTATTAAATTCTAAACTTTCATTTTAAATTTATTTATTCCCATTTCACTTTAAGTATTTATCATTTTTAACCTTTTTAAGAGTCATATCAGGATTACTCTTGTACCCAAGAGTACCTCATAATTTTACCCGTGGATACTCTAAATAATTTTGCACGCAAAATTGTTTTTTTATCATTTACTTTTCTTTTATTATGCATGGGTACATCACATCCCTTACCAACACCATCTGCGGGTAATCTTGATTAACTTAAAACTTTTACTCATCATTTTGATATAAATTTAAAATCCTTTTAAATTGTAATTTCATATGTTATATATCTTCTTCCTATTTGTGAGATATATTTCAAACCTTCAAAATGTACTACAGTGAAATATTTTATAAAACCAATTAATAAAACAATTTTACATTAACGAAATATTACTTTAATACATACAAGAAAACAATTACTCACATTTGCCTGAATTCTTTCTCTTTCCCTTGAATTCCTTTTTTCTCAGTCTTCAATTCTTTGCACCTTTAAATCAACACCTAATTAAAATTCATAATTTTTCTAAACTAATATGTAATTTTTCGGTTATATTGATATGAATGCTTGTAGTATCATAATATGAAAGGTTTTATGCATAATTTATTAAATATTATGTGTTGGAGGATATGAAAATGTGAATGATATGAATTATAGAGAGTGATTGTATGTGTGTGCTAACTATGATGAAGTTCACCCTTTTATAATACCAGTGGAGGAACGCTAAATTACCTGTGAACGTAGTTGGAAAATGATATTAATATTGGTGTAATTTAAATGATGCAATTTTAGATGATGTTTCTATAACTGTTGTATAAATATAAAATAATATGGATATTCTATTGATATAGTAAATCAAATTATATGTTCTGAACTATTGTGAATGACCATGTCCAAAAAACTTTTATGTCTAATGCTTTTATATTGATTTATATTACTTATGACCAACATACACAAAAATTTCTTTTTATTTGGATACTGTACTTTAGAAGTAGATGTATTTGTTATTGTTTTAAATTAATTTTTTTAGGATTAAGGTTTTGTGCAAAGATGAATAACAGAGAATGAAATATCCATAGAGGACATGAACTAGCAATCAAAAATGACTAAAATCAGACAGAATTAAGAGCTTCTTTCTTTAAATTACTGCATTAAATTCCTTATTTTAATTATATATATTCTTTTTTTTTATCTGAAAATTTAGATTAGGAGCTTTTTTAGGCTTAAGGTTTTGTGCAAAGATGAATAACAAAGAATGAGATATCCATAGAGGACATGAACTATCAATCAAAAATGACTAAAATCAGACAGAATTAAGA